TACAATCAATACAATATTTCACATAAACTGAAGTAAATACTGAAATCCACCTGGTTTTTGCTGGGTACTTTTGGAATTACTTTGGTTACAGTTCCTTCAAAATGTTCAATGCTGATATCTTCAAAAATGACAGTTCCTTGAGGCAACAGTCTAACATCTGTTGCAACTTCTTTACCCTAAAAGCACAAAAATCAGTCAAATGCCCACAGAGAAGAGGCAGACTTTTTCCAGTAAACCTCCTCCCCCCTTCTTTTTACAAGTTAATTTGACAAAAGAGCATGCTGCCCAGTTATGCCCTAGGATCTTGTCTTCAATTTTTACTGGATTTCATCTTACATTTCTGTCTTTGATTGTAAACTCCACATCATCACCAGGCTGTAAGGCTTCTAGGTCACCTTTAAATTCACTATAGTGAAAGAATATCTCCTTCACGACATCACCCCTCTCAATAAATCCAAAGGCTTCCTAAGAACAGAACAAAGTAATAAATTAGCTATTCTCTTAACACACCAAGACAAAATTCTACAGGTTCTATCAAACACAGTAAGACTACGACATACCAGTATAGCATACTTATGAGTGCACACAGCTAACAGACCACAAGAAATATACAAATGGAAATAAATGGGACTTCCTTTGTTAGGAACATTCGTACCAAAGATTAGCTATTTAAACAGTTTCACCCAGTTTACACCCACAGCTCCAAACTGTTCATAGCTCTTAATCCCCTAAATGTATAACATCACTTTGCAGAACAGCATTTCATTTTCAAATGAAACTGTAAAGCTAAAGCATCACTTACTTTCATGGCACAGACTACTCCTTGACAGCGGGCTTGTTTCTTTTTTAATAGCATAATGTTACGAGCACTTACAGCACCAGTACTAGAGGGAGAAAAAAGTAAACAGAGCAAGCTTGAAACAAGTTGAAACTAAATAAAAAAGTTAACATTATATTTCACAATGTCATTTTAGTTCTTGAAACAGGCATGAATTCTGTCTGACTACTAAAACAAAGTAAGAAGTCAGAAAAGCAATACCAACTTACTGTTTATTTGTATCAATTACAAAGTTTATTTTATCTCCTGTTTCCAGCTGCACATTTCCTTCAACATCCTCCGGGGTGTAAGTCAGGTAAAATACTTCCTGTAAATTAACATTTACTAATATCACTCTATTTGCAAAATAGTTGTTTTAAAGACAAATTAGCACAGTTTTGTTTAATACCAATATCTATTAAATAAATTAATTTAGTGAGAAAATTAAAAAAATGGTCAAACATGGCAGGCAAAAATATTCTTTTTTCCATCATGCTGTTTTGCTGAGTCTGTAACAAGCAACTTAAGTTGAAAGGTTTGTATGTGGCCATCTTTAAATGTCAATTTCTAAACATTAAAAGTTCAAGATAAGGATACATGAACATTATATAGCCTAGCTTCATTACGTTTTAAAAAAGAAAAACAACTATTCAGCTCTATATAAAGGTCTCCATAGATATCAGCAAGCAAGCTGCCAAATTAACATTTCCATTCACAATAATTATCAAAGCACGCTCTTTTTTTTGGCCCAGAACTATAGCTCTTAGCAGTGTCAATTGTCTACATTAAATTGCATCGATTTTATTGCTCATAGACCACACTGATGGATCAGTGAAGAGTTCAAGTAAAATACATAAGCTTTACCCCATTACGTTCGTAGCATACACTCCCTGTTGGACTCTGACCCGGGGCAGCTGGAGATTTACTCTCTAAATTGTGAGGAACAGCACACACAACCTACCAGTCAAAAAAAAAAAAAAAAATCCATTGCTAGTCATTTCAAGTGCAGCATTGTTAAACACAAAATGAATCTCAGTAGCCTCTGCTATTCGCGCAGGGATGCACTTCTAGTGTAACTCAACAGGGAATGCCACGCTGCAAAGTTTCAGTCTTACAGAACACCTGTTGACCCTCAGAACTGAGCTAGAGCTCAAACCGAACCTCCAAACTTTTACCAGAACAATGAAAATATATTTCAGTGTAACTGTATATTATACGTAGTTAATATGCATGCTTAATGAATCTAGCCTTCTGTACTGGAGAAAACGATGGAAATGATGCACATATAGAAAAGAGACACTAACTTGTCCATTTATTCGCTCTTCAGGTAATATTTCTGGTTTTATCTTCACCAATTTAATAGCAATGGGTTTTCCAGTTCGGCGATCAGAAGACACTTCAAACTCAACATCGTCTACAAGACAATCAAACATGATAATGGCATCACGGAGTTTTGGTTGGTTGGTTGGTTTTGTAATCACTAAACGCCGAACACAACAAAGTAATACTCAGATGCTTTTGTAACCAAGGAAGGACACACTATTTGCAAATATTTATCTGGTTATTCTGCTTATTCACTCACGTTGCTAATGAACTATTCCACTGTAATGGCTTGCCCCTCAATAATCCCCTCTCCCTGCCCTGCTCACCATACAGCAGACTTCACACTGAAGCTCAAACAACATAACATATGCCATTGAACAGTTTAGAAACTTCACTGCCACATTAATTAGTAGCATGAAGTAGTAGTCTCCTCCTGAAATCAACTGGCCACCTTCAAACTAATTCTAAAAAAGAAATACTGAGTACGAGGTATATTCTTCCGCGGCCTAAGCGCTTGCTTCCATCTCAGTTATACAAGTTTGACCTAATACCGCACCTTGTCCAGAGCAGCCACAACTATATTAATACAAGCAGCATAAAGTTTAGGTGCTGTAAAGGTCTGTCATCGGGAGTGGCAAGTTATTAATTCAATCATCTCTTTAGCCCACCAGAAGCAACAGCATGCATCTGTTCATGCCACAGGATAAAAGGATTTTCTATGGCAAGTGAAAGATACTGGTCTTCCCTCAGTCAAGAAGCCCTGATCGTTGCCTAATTACCTCCTACTTTGAGCTCCTGTAAGTTGCCATTATACTGTGAACAGTGGAAGAACAGTCTAGCTTGCCGTTCCGAACACTGAATGAATCCATAAGAGGTCAGCAGTTTTTCTATAACCCCAGTCTCACGCAGCGCTGCCGAAGTACCATTGGGGTACCCGTTGTGTCCATTGTTGTGGAGCAGGTTTGGATCAAAGCTCATCTGTTTAAAAGAAACAGGGGTGGTGGGGGGAAACAAACACAGAAAACACTCTGAAACAAAGTTTCCTTTCTCCATGCCCACAAAGACAACTTGTGGAAGTTGTTATAACAAGCAAACTGTAATAAATTTTAAAATAGAGTAAGAACAGTATAACAGTTAAGCTTTTGTAAAACAATACTCCCTAAAATATCGACAGGGAACATATTTATAGAATAGCCCAGAAACACACCAAAGTAAAGCTTGCTTAGACCAAAACAAACTTCTGACTTTCTTAAGTATTATACCTCAAAGTACTCCTACATTCACTTTTTCACACCAGAGCCTGAAAATATCTAAAGTATCTGCTCTTATAAATTGAACAGGTAATGTGGAAAATGCAACATTTATGAAACAACAGAATAGGTTCACATCCCTGCAAAGTTTGTCCCCAGTTTGCCTGTTCAATCTTTCACACTAAAAAAACTGATTTAAATATTTAAACATTTTTACCCAGTTATGGAATTAATACGCATAACTAAACTTAAACTAACATTTCAGTGGCATAGGAGCTCAAATGCTAGAGGCTGAGAAAACTTTAAAACAGCATTAAACTAAAAAAGTTAAAGCTGTAATGAACTGTTAAATCATCTTACATTCATGAAAACTTTTCTTTTTTCTTTTTTTTGGGGGTGGGGGATCTTTTCAAGGCACAGACTCAACCTTGAAGTATTCATAAGTCCCTTTACTAACCAATTGGCTTTTTGATGTGCAAGTCTCATTTTTAAAGCAAACCACTGCCATTTACAAGTTAGCAATTAAATCAGTTGAAACGTTACACCTCACTAAACACTGTAATTAAAGAAAAACTACTCAAGCAACCCTCCCCAAACAGTCAATCTGTATCTCAAAATACAGTATTGAAGTGGTTTTATTTGCTGCAGTTTGCAGAGTATTTATTTTGGTAACAGAGTAAGACTGTATCTGTTCTCTGCCTTCTTGCTGCATCAAGTAGAAGAGATTAAAAATTAGTCAGCGATATGTTTAGTGGAGAGAAAGGCCACCTGAACAACTTGTAAAACAGTCACGCTTCTTACTCTAACACAGACATTGAATTACTTGATGTATTAAAAGCATGTCTTACTACGCTGTTTGGAAATCAGTTTAAAAGTGATCACAGAGCACTGAAGAACACTTGCTGTGGAGTTCTTCGGCAGAAATCTTTATTTTTGTTAAGTGAGACTGACATTAAAAAAAAAGAATTGGGAACAACTGCAATAGGTAAGGATTGACAGTGTTCTGACCTTCAAAAGAAAAATTAAAACATCAGTCCTTACACCACTGTACACAGCAACTTCTCAACTAGTTAGCCTTCAACCATTACTCCCAAATGGTTCTATAAAAGCTGCTGGTACTGGTTAATAGTGAAACTATTAAGCATAACCCATGCTGCGTTATTTTCCTGGAACATTTCCATCTTCATGTTATGGCTTACACGTTATTTAATTAGACTTTCAGGCAAAAAGGGTATCTTAGCAGAACCTAAGGGGTATTTCCACCCATTTCATTCTGCAGGAGGTAGTGACGTTTTAATGTGAGAACTTCTAATAAAATTTCAAGAAAAAAACAAACTGATACTTCGTAATTGCTTGGGAAAAGCCAAATGCTTCGTATTTGCTGAAAAATTGTTGATACTAAGAATATGAAGAGGTGAGAGTATATTCACAAGGTAACCAACCCTAGGACTTCCTATGCTACTGAAACACGTTGACATTGCTGCCCTGACCCACCGATCTCTGATACAGGGGACTGCCCTTCTGTTTAAGGCCCACATGTGGTAGAAGTAGATGAAGAAAAATATAAAGAGAAGGTGGGGGAGCTACGGGAGGGGGGAATAAAGGATCTCATGACATGACACTGAATAATGGTTCTCCATCTCGTACAGCTGTGATAGCATAGTACAGCATTGGGGGACTACAGAACTGGTCAGTAGTTACAAAGTACAGTGTTAGCCACTGCCAAGCTCTTTAAAAATTCAGTGCACTAGTAAATCTGTTATAATGTCTATAATACGCACTGCTTATTTTCTTGGTTTACATCTCATTTTTCTTTTCATTTTTAAAATAAGTAACAATTGTACCGACAACTGTTGCACAAAAGCTGCAAGTCTCGATGGGAAAACGCACCGGGGCAAAGGTGTGCACATATACACCCCCAATACAGAAACAGCTGCAAAGGCTGTATGTTCTGTTAAGATGTATTAAGAGAATTACTAAAAGCCTAAATTAGAGTCTCTTTCAGTACTGTGAGTCTTCCTACAAACTATAAATTCTTGCAAGGAAGGGACTACCTTACTACTCAGCTTCCCCTCTCGTACTTCAAAGGGAGGGATGAAAAAGTTGAACCAAGGACTTAGCTTCTAGTTCACTGGATTATATATTAGTAACGTCACATAACTGACAGAGGTCTCGGTATATAGGTCTCAGAGTACAAATATTTAACTAGTATATTGATTTATCTTGGCTCCATCGTTATTAGCATTTGTCCAAACCTGTGAGTCTCAGGTCTGGTCATACAAGATGCTATACAGCAGTTCTTGTACATGAGCACACAATCATAGAATCACGGTATGCAAGGGGTTGGAAGGGACCTCTAAAGGCCATCTAGTCCAACCCCCCTACAATAAGCAGGGACATCTCTAACTAGGTCAGGTTGCTCAGAGTCCCATCAAGCCTGACCTTGAACATCTCCAGGGATGGGGCCTCCACGAGTTAAGAGTTTTACACTCTCTAGGAACATTTGAGAGTTTCCTCTCTCATTGTATTTTCCATGCATTGTGAGTTTTCCTTTGTCAAGGAGGACAAAGTAAAGGTAAGACCAAACTCAGAGTTGTACAAACACCTGAAGATCCCCATTACAATAAATAAAAGTTACAGATGATGACCGTCTCCCTCCATTGCACCCTTAAAGCAACTTCCAGAGGACCTGCAACCTAGAACCAACTAATTTGTAATTGTTTTAATCCTCTTCTACTTTGCCCAACGTATTCTACAATAATTTTGCTATCAGCTTTACATATGTGTCTGTTCTGCCACATTTGACACTCAAACTCTGGAAGAATGAAAAGATCCCATATCAATGCAGAACCATAGCATCAGTGCAAGAAAACATCACAACATGGTAGTTTACAAATATCAAGCAAAGCATGTAACTACTATGTGAACAGCTGGTTCACATCCAGGTTAGATATAAATTTTATTGCCACCATATTCAGACCGATAGCCTCCATACTATCCCAAAATTAAGTAACAAACTGCATTCTTCTAGAACAAGACAAATGAACAGAAAAACGCAGTATTGTCTGTTAGAGTGGTATGATAAGCCACAGCATAACAGACAAGATGTTATTCAATCTCTTAATTTTAATCAATACTGCCCTCTTATTCTACAATTACAAAACCTCAAGTGTCAGGATACCTACAAACCTGCGATAACTGGCATAAATGAACACTCTTACATGTTCAAATAAGTCATAAAATACTAACATGTCAGAAAACAATGGAGACACGACCCCCAGCAAAAACCCCTGGAGAACTCTAGTCCATCTTCCTCCTCCTCCTCAACGGCCTCTTGCCAACAACAAAAGCAGACGTGCCTTTGTCTAGCTGAGTCTTGAAAACCTTTAATGGCAGAGGTTCCACTACCCTTCTGGGTTAACAGTTGCAGTGCTGCGGTACTCTCCCAGCAAAGATGTCTTTCCCTCACGTCCAGCCTAACTGTTCAAGGGACAAACAGGAGTTCACCTTCTTTATGCAGCGGATTACGTTTAAAGGCCACATTTTCTCTTAACAACAACAAAACACTATACAAAGCTGCTAGGAGTTACAGACTAGTTCCTGCCAGCACCACACCAATGTACACAGCCTCATCTTTTGAGGCAGGCAACCCCTAGGACATTCCATACACAAGAAGATGCCCTTGTGGGAAGGCAACAGCTGAATTGTTTGATTCTAAGCCATCCTAGAGTTTGAAATACTGTTCAAAAATGAATTGGTCCTGCAAGTAGAGTGGCTGGGGGAAGGGAAAATGATATATTATTACATCTTTTCCTAGAAGAATAGTAGGCAAGACCATTAACCCATTCTGAAAGCTCAAATGGGTGGGACAAATGCTTTTTGTGAGCCATTTACAAAATGGCCACTTCACATCTCTGATACAAGGTAAGTACATAAACACACATTCAGCCTGCCACAGATGTTAAGTAATAGGCTAAAGGTAGTATTACTAAAGGTACATCAGATACAGAAAATGACAAAAATCTACCTAAAAATCAAGTTCAGAATAGCCTATCTGAGGGTTATAAACCACACTGCTGTAATCTCTTGCTCAAAGGCTACCATTGTATAGTATCATTTGAACAGTTAGAATTTCAAGGCGTATCAGTATAGCACGAGGAACTCATCATCAATCATCTAAAGCCTCACAACGTAAGTTCAAACAGAGATACACTCCTCAGAGTGGCACTAAAATTTGCTGTAGAGAAAAAGATACAGTATAATACCGGTAGTCCTTCCAGATGCTTGTTGTATTCCTACACCTGTTGAAACAACGTTTCAGAGCACAACAAAAAATCAAACACAACGTCCATTTATACGTATCACCAAGAGTACTGTCATAAAACTGCTCTTCAAAAAACTTGTACTAATAGGCCACAGCCTATTAACGTACAAACAAGACTTGCTTGGAGCTATAATGTAACGGTTATACGCTGGACCACAACAACTACCTGGTTGGGCTGTCCACTGCCAACAGTTCACTCTCAGCAGCTGATTTTTAACACAGCTGACCTGTCAGTTTATAAGAATGAGAACTATGAACCCCACTGGTACTCAGAGGAAGAAAAAAAACCACAACTGCAAGATTTAAAGACTAAACAGAAGTAATTAGTAAAAAATGGGATTGGAACCACAACATCACTGTTACTAGAAGACAGAAATACTAATAACCAGCTCTCTAAGGTTACAAGTATCGTTAAATAGAATAATTTGCAGGTACTATTAATTCATAATACTACTAAACCAATGTAACAGCAAAGAACTGCTAAAAAACTCTAATAAAACCACAGCCTTCTGTTGATCACTTGTTTCCCATTAAGTTTAGAAATACATATATAACTCTTTATGTAACACATGCACCAACCTCGCAGTGATATTCAAATATTGCACTTTCAGTAGTATTAGCCGATTCTTCTGTTTCAGCACAAGTTTCTAAGAATGAAGACTGCTATTATTAAAAAAAAAAAAAAGAAAAAAAAAGGAGAGAAGATAGAAAGAGAGAGAGAGAAAGAGAGAAATAAAAAAAGACAGCAAGAGAACGTGATCTATCAAGCTAACAGAGAATGCAAGTGCTGCTGCCCTGGGCAGTTTCAATACAGCACTGGAGAAAACAAAGACTACTAGCAGCGTTGGGACGTGCTCTTTTGAAGCTGTTGAGTAGGCACAAACTTCTTGTTTCAGATCAAGCCTCGTATCTTCAGTGTAAGTTTCCTCTTCTTTGGTCTTGAGTTGTTACGATGTGGTATATTCTTTTCCTGATCTGAACTTGAAGCAGCAGTTTCAGGTGGTAAATTCTGTTCTGTTCCACTTCATACTGGAGAAAGGAGACACACACACCAAGTATCACTTTAAAAGAAATTACACATCAGTCCTAGGTGCTCCTACAAACAGGTGCAATTCCTCTATCTTAATACTGTAGGTTTGATCCAAGCTAGGAAAGACTGTTTTACAGATACATTTGGCATTCCCATTTTCAGTTTTGTTTTCCTCCAAACCAGTGATATGGAATTTCCAACTTTAAACTTTTTACAACACAGGCATTTCAAGAAAGGTCCCACTTCGTACAATTAAAACAGCAACTTCATTTTGATGAATAGCAGCATCATTTAATGCAAGTCTCAGTCCACCTGTCAATAACTTTATATGGGTCCTGTCTCATAGCATGTAAAATAATTGCAGAGCCATTCTCTGGACTCCTTAAAACAGCTTGCAAAATGTTCACATATCGACAATATTTGTGTAGATAACATGACAGAGAAGCCTCTCTGCAACACTAACTAGATAATTCCCTCCTAAACTTTTCCAGCACCACTTTGTTTAGACAAACTGCCACCTACCACATAAAAATGAAACCTTATAGAAACAGAACTTTTCTTTTTCCTTTTTAAAGAAATTAAATCAAGTTTTGATTTGAATTTGTTGCTTACTCAGTAGATACAGGAAAAAAAGGGGGAAAAGATTTTTGTGGAAAAAGCCACTAAGCAGCAACACAGCTGTGAATCTATGGATAAACTGGCACGTTATGCAGCAATCTAAAGGTATGAAGCATCAGAGCACAACTCTTCCCCAAGTCATTCCACAGGTCCCACATCAAATGAGTAAAAATATGGACAAAGCCTATTTCTCCACTGAAGCAAGAAAGTAAATTTCACGATTTACATGGAGCTGTGGACTCCCTTCCATGAACTTCAGTCAACTTAAGTGAATGAAACATGATTGCAAAGACATTTAACTGTCATCACAGCAGAAACGCATACTGCGGTCTGCTATTACAAATAAGAACACTAAACCCCAAAAGCATGTGACGGCTGTATGCAAACTCATCATCCAGTTTTCAGAGAAGTTTGTACATCAACGACCTCTCTTCAGATGAAGCATCTTTCTTTAGCAACCACTCTGAAAAGCTTGCAACTGAAATAAGTTTTCTTGTCAGACCATTACACATACATGAATGAGACCAGCTAAGAAACTGGATGAGGGCATTACAAACCAGTACCCGGTATGAAGGATTTGCAGTGAAAGATTCAATTATAAAAAAATATAAATTAGAAGACAGAAAGCTATTGCAAAACTAAGAGCATCACTAGACTTTACGCATATCTCCATAATAGATTCAGGCAACCATTACCACAACCTCTTTCAAGACATCACTATTTTTTGGACAGCATTTCAGATCTCAAATAAGCATCCTCCCAACCAAGTTCAGGAGAAATGAAGGAGGCATACACCCTATCACAGGAACTGCACAGGGACTCTTATTCACGTACTTCCCTCTCATCTAATTAGACTAATACTATTAGAGCTCTACTAGAGCTATAACCTGTATCATATTACAGTTCTCTTTTTTCCTGTGCATAGAATATATTACTTTTTCATAGAATAATCAAAACATCTCTTCTGCCCAAAGACGGCTAAAGCTAATTTTGTCAGGTAATGGTATAAAGCATAAGCTTTTCCCTTAAATGACAGTTCATTCGATAACAAGATTGGTCTACTACACTGAAGTCACTTCAAAAAATGGGGTTGTCAACTAAGCATAACTAAGGTTAAAAAAAAGTAAATCTTTGTGTGTCTGCCTCAAATTCTTTACTTTTCAATTCAGCCACTATAAATACTCCTCCAAATGGTAAACACCCTAAGCAGCTGCCCAGCCCCCAAGTCACACTGGGTTCTGTATTTATATATTTACAGCTGAAAGGATTAATGCAAAAACATGGAAGAGCTGTACAAGTCCTGTTCTCAGTCTTTCAGGTGCAGATTTTGCTAAGTGACAGCAGGTCACATAAAGCTGTTCACAGGTAGAAACCACCTACACAGGCTGCCGGCCAAAACAGCTGGATCACAAACACTGCTTTGTTTCCCATTTTCTTCACAAAAAGAGGTAACTGAAAAAACACGCATTTAACTGTGTTAGAATGTGTCTTCTACAAATAGCCGCCTCTTCTTACATGACCAAGATCAAATTTAATAAAGATAAAATTTTGTATTTTCAGTATGCACGCACAACACAGCCGCTAGCTACTTGGAGATAAAGCTATTCCATCTCTTTTCAGCTGAACATTGGAAAGCGGCACTGAACTCTAGCTCTTGAGCACCCCAACCAATACATGACAGCCACGAGATCAGCAACCGACATTCACTAGGTCAGTGAAGCCACTTTTATGTCAAAACAATACATCTATGAGGAAAAAAAAGTTAAAAGCACTTCCAAGGACATCTGTAAATGCACATATACGTATAGAACCATCAAAAAAAAACCCGGCATAAAACAAAAAATCCGTTCTTTTAACGCGTCTGCAATCGGGGAAGAGCCCTACGCTCGCTATTAACGCGAACAACAGAAAGCCGGAGCAGACCGAGAGCCTCCCCGCGGGCCTT